AATTTCTCCGTTCTGGGCCTAAGATTCCTCACTGATAAAATGAGGTTGCTGGATGGTAGATGTCTTCTAAAGTCTAGCTCTACTTTGCATACAATTCTTAACCTGTTTGCGTATGTGTTATAAAATATATCTGTTACATGTGTTACATGTTATATCCAACTTCTTGAATAGTAGAATGTAAGCTCCTTGAGGGCAGGGTTTGTTTCATTTTTGTCTTCATTTCCCACAGTGCCTGGCAGCAATAGGCATCTCATAAATGCTTGTTAAAATTAATGTCAAATTGAGTCTGTGTATTTCAGATAAAAGGTGTGCCTATATAATGGGACTATAGAAACTGCATGCCACATTTTAGAATGGATACTGATGAAGAAGCTAGAATGCATCCAGAAGATGATCAAAGCTGGTGAGGGGACTAGAGACAATACTATACAAGAATCAGTTGAAGGGACTGGGCAGCTAGGTGGTGCCATAGTGCCCAGAGCACCAGGCCTGGAGGCAGGAAGATTCATCTTCATGAGTTCAGATCTGGCCTTAGACACTAGCCGTGTGACCCTGGGCAAGTCACTTAACCCTCTTTGCCATCTGTAAATTGAGCTAGAGAAGGAAATGGCAAATCATTCTAGTATCTTTGCCAAGAAAACCCCAAATGGGGTCACAAAGAGTCATACACAATCAACAAAAGGGACTTTATCCTGGGCAAGAGAAGGGTGATTGGGAAAATGAGAGCTGTCTTCCATTATTTGCCGGCCTTTAAGAAGGATTAGATATGTTCTGTGTGGGTCCAGAATAAGTAAGAACTAGGAGCCATAGATACAAGTCACAAAGATAGATGTAGGCATGACAACAAGAACTTAGTTGCGCTATATAAGAGCTATCCAAAAGTGGAATGGGCTGGCTGCCCCAGTAAGGAGCAGGCACCCCCTCACTGGTGCCTAAAAGAGTTCAGAAAACGAACTGAAGGTCTTAGAGTGGATCTCAGAAATGTGCAGACTAAGATTGGAAAAAGGGTTGTTTTACATCAAGGATGTCCAGCTGTCTTTCCTCAGTCTGTGTAAAACAGTTTCCCAGAAGCCAGGCCTGGGAGAAATTGAAGACAAAGAGAAGAAAGCTCTGCAGGACGTTTAGCCATCACCTCCAGGCAATAGGGGCCCTTTCCCCCCCTGTGAGCTCCATAATTAGATATTAGCAGATCCGGGGAATGATAAGATAGCCTGGATTTTCTCCCTACAGAAATGATTAACCAGACAACTCTTGGTCCCAGAGATCCTCAGTGGCTTTTGAAATTGAAGGCCGTGTGGTGTCCAACTCTGTAATCCTGCACCAAGCTTCTTCTTACTTCATTTTCTTTGTAGGGATCTCTTTATTGAGAAGAGAAACATCTTTTCTCACAAGTAGAGAAGAGTGACCAGAAGTCCACGCTTGGCCTCAGATGAGGAGGGAGAGTTTGGGGCTGGGTTGGGAGGCATTTCTTCTACCTCCAAGACAAGGGCCATCCACCCCTACAGAGCAACCCCCTAGTCAATTCTAACAGTAGAAAAACTAAAATCTGGTCCTTGTGTGTGTATGCACATATATATTCATTTTATAGTTATAACATAAACAAATAACTTTTTTGTGGTTTCTCAGTCGTTTCAGTCAGTCCACCTCTTTGTGACCCCATTTGGGGTTTTCTTGGCAAAAATACTGGAGTGGTTTGCCATTTCCTTCTCTAGCTCATTTTACAGATGAGGAAACTGAGGCAACAGGAAGTTAATTTATTTCCCCAAGGTTATATAGCCATCGGTGAGCTTACATGTATTCATTTATTCTAGAATTAACACCCAAGAAACTTCAGGAAATACCTGTTATCTCTAGGATAAAACGGAAATGACTCTACTTGCTACTTAAACCCTTTACAATCTCTAGGTCCAGCCAAACTGGCCTATTATTCCCTAATACATGATATTTCATTTCCCACCTCCTTGCATTTGCACAGGCTTTTTCCTGTGCCTTGGATGCTCCACCAAATTCTACCTTAAAGGCTCACTGAAGTGCCATGTCCTAAACCAGCCTGGTTTTGACATTACCTCTCCCTCTCCGGGGTCTTAGTGCTCTTCCCTCTTCCCCTGAAATTACTTTGTGTTGAGTGTGTATTTGTATTGTATACTTTGTGTTGTATTTATAAGAGGCAGCAGGTACAGTGGCTAGAGAAATGCCCAGGAACACCTGAGTTCAAGTCTTATCTCTGACATAGACTGGTTGTATGACCCTGGGCAGGTCACTTAGACTCAGTGGTCTAGGCCAATCGTTGAGATTAGACATTTCAGAGAGTGCACAGATGTCCATTGGTATCAGTAGTTTCCTCACCTTGGGGTTCTTTATACCAATGAAATCAGTTTCAGTCTCTGTCTATCCATCTATCTGTATGTATATCATATAAAATATACAATATATCAACTGTGTATTGTTTTAATATATATGAATAGGTACATATAAAGTTTATATATGTATATATAACATTTATGCATTTATGTATAGCAGAATATAAACTCCTTGAGGTCTGGAATTATTTCATTTTTGTCTTTGTATTTCCAATGTCTACTTAATAAGTGCTAAATTAATTCAACATTTATTAAATATCTACTAATGTATGAGTAGGGGCAGCTAGGTGGCACAGTAGATAGAATTTGAGGCCTGGAGTCAGGAAGACACATCTTCCTGATTTCAAATGCTCTCTCAAACACTTATTAGCTGTGTGACCCTGGGCAAGTCACTTAACCTTATTTACCTCAGTTTCCTCATCTGTAAAATGATCTGGAGAAGGAAATGGCAAACCACTCTAGCATCTTTGCCAAGAAAACCCCAAATGGGGTCACAGACTCAATAAATTCCAATGGCTTCCTCTCATCTCCAGGATCAAGTATAAAATCCTCTGGCTTTCAAAGCTCTTCATAACCTGATTCCTTCCTATGTTACCAGTGGTCTTATGCACTTGGTGATCCACTCCGGCCTTCCTGTTGCTCCCACACAGCACATTCTTGACCCCCAGAATCTTCACTGGCTGTCCCTGGAATAGTCTCTCTCCTAATTTTCCCCCTCATCCTCTCTGTTTTTCTTGAAGCCCCAGCTAAAATTTCACCTTCTCACCTTTCCTGACCTCTCTTAATTCTATTGACTTTCCTTTTTTTGATTTTCTTTCACTTATCCTGTATATGTATGTATGTATGTATGTATGTATATATATATATATATATAGCCTGCTAGTATGTGGCTGTTTGAATGTCATCTTCCCCATGAGACTGTGAGCTCCTCTGGAGCAGGGACTGTCTTTTATCTTTCTTTGTATCCCTAGAGTTCAGCTCAATGCCTGGTACTTTGTAAGTGCTTAATAAATGCTTATTGACTGACCGACTTCCCCCCCCCCTTTTTTTTTTTGATTCCCAGCACTTAGCCCAATGCCTGAGGGACTGAGTAGCCTGACTAGCCTAAAATCAAGTCCCAGCTCTGGCACTTAGAGATCATAAAACCTTCCACAGGATGCTAAACCCCCTCAACTCTAGCTCTGTTATCAAGGTCCCTCACTGCATCCTGGGCCATCTCCAGTTGTTCTGATCGATATCTGACCACTGGACCCAGATGGCTCTGGAGGAGAAAGTGAGGCTGGTGACTTTGCACAGCCCTGCCTCACTTAAATTCAATTCACTTTTGTGTCATGGCATCACCTCCCTGATGTCATGGTCCTCTTCCAGAAGGAAGGACAAACAGCTTCAAGGCTGGGAGAGGCCATACTTTCACTGCTTTCCAGGTGTGGTCAAGATCTGAAGAGGCAGTGTAGCCTTGATAAGAATTCTCCACTGACTGTAAGCCAGTTTGGGGCTTTTTAGTGCCGCTAAAGGGAATATTTTAAGATTGTGGGATAGAGGATAAAGGATGATGTTGGACTGAAGAGTCAGGACTTGGGTTTGGGACTTGGTTGAGTCGGAGTAAGTCACCTCATTTCTCCTGGTATGCTTCATCTGCAAAGTGGGATTAATAACCCCAGGAGTCCCTACCTCAGAAGGCCTTGAAGCTGAAAAGGGGCAGCATATTCTAAAATGCTTTAGGAATTTGCCTGGGGCACCCTCTCATCACCCGTCATCATCATTATAACTATGGCCTTGGCCCTCGAGGACCTCTGAAAGTGGATGCTGGGAGTAAGAGGGATGCTTACGGACCAAGGCCCAGTAGCCTTGCCCAGTGCCGGCCTCCCTTCTTCGGGGAATGGGGGGAAGGCTCTAACAGAGCCTTCTGTTAGAAGAGCCTTCTGTTAACGTCCTGTCCAGCTGCCAGAGCCTAGCGGCGGCGCAGAAACCCAACCCACCGGCCTCTCCGGCCATTCCGGGAAGATCTAGAGCTGCATCCCTCCCTAGGAGAGGGAAGGGGGGTGGGATCCTCCATTAAAAGTCATGAGGAGGCGCACGGAGCCCCCAGAAGGGAGCCCCGCCCCGCGCCAAGGCTGGCAGCTCTCGAATTGGGGCTGCCCATGGCGCAGAGCACAAGGAGCAGCCGGGGAGCCAGGGCAGGGGCCAGGCCAGGCCGGGGGTGGAGGGAGTGCACATCCGGGCAGCTGGGCAGGCCCGCGGGGGGCGGGGCAGGCCTGGAGCAGCTCCGGGCTCCCGCATTTTTCCAGAGTGACGTTTCCACAGGAAATACAAACGCGCACACACATACACACAGACGCGCGCACACATACACATACACACACACACACACACACACACACACACACAGCCCCCCGACCCCGGGGCTCGCAGCCAGCTCTGGGCTCCCGGGTCTCACAGCCCCAAGATGCGCTGTCCCCCACCCTGGACACACGCAGAGCCAGCCTGGCCAGCCCCGGGCCCCCCGAACCCAGCCCAGTCCTACCCAGCCCTGCCCTGCCCTGCCCTGGCCGCCCCTCCCAGGGCGCTGTCCGACTGGGCTGGCTCCGAGCTGGGGGGGAGGGGGGAGCCCCCGGGAACCTAGTTCCGCGCCCTACTCACCCTCCTTGGCTTTCTTTCTCCGGGCCAGAGTTCCTCCAAGTTTCCCCAAGAAGGAGTCATCTTTCTTCCGGGACGGGGGAGACTTGGGGGTGGGAGATTTGGGGGCCGAGGGTGACTTCTGGGGGGAGGTTGCCATGTCGGGGAGCGGAGAGCGGAGCTCCGGGAGGGCCGGGACGGCTCGGACTGGGGCGCAACGAAGGAGAAGGCGGCAGGGCAGGCGGCGGCCGCGGAGACTGAAGCTGCCCCTTTCCAAACGGAAGCGGAATTATTCCAAGCATTTGAGGCAGCTCTCGCTCTCCTTTCCCTTCCCTCGTTCCCTCCCTCCCTCGCTCCCTCCCTCCCGCCCTCCTTCCCGGGAAGAAGTTTGCCTGGTCCCTGGTTCTGGCACTCAGTGTACCTGGCTGGGCCGGGCCAGGCCAGGCCAGGCCACCAAAGCTCACCTAGAGCAGGTAGGAGCCCCAGGCAACCTCAGCCCCTGCAACCTCGTCTGTTTCCTACCAAAACTCAGAACTTTTCAGTAGTGGACATGCACTCATCAAGCAGAAGAGTATTACTTAACCCTCCCTGCCCCTGCATTCCCAGCCTCAGAGTTCGGAAGGCCTGGGTTCAAGTTCTACCTATGATATCTGTTCCTCCCATTCTCAGAGAGGTTTTTATTGACTCTCCCGTCTTCCTCTCCTGCTCACATAAGATTCTAGCCCGGGGGAGCTTGTTTGAGCACCTGAACCTTCTTCTGATCAACTGGGAGAACCACAGCAGGCATGCAGACTTGGTCCTGCCAATCACTGAATGCCAGCATTCAATAGTAAGAATGTGTGATATGATCAGATTACCTTGGTTCTAGCCATTCTTTCAGAAATCCAACAACCCTGTATTCAACTCTGGACTGAAGGCTTTGGAATAGATAATCTCCAAAGACCCTTCGGGTTCAAACATTTAAAAAAAATTAAATTTCAAGAGTTCCAGCTGTGAATTCAACCTTGAAGATGTTCAGTGAACTCTGGGGAGCTTGTGATAAGCTAGAAGCTATGGTTGCCCCAGGCTCTAGATCTGACAGCATCTGATTCCTGAATTTCCCATGGGGCTGAGTTAGGAAAGGAATTATATTTCAACAACTCTGTTCTTTTTCACTTCACTTCTTTCTCTCTTGAAAAGCCTACTCATCCTCAGAGCCTCACCTAACACAGTTTCAGGATCTATAGTACCAATCCTTAGTTCACTCTCAAGCTCCATTTCTGGGGGCCACAAGCTTAGAGGTGACCTGGGTTCTAGTCCCAGCTATGACACACATTAGCTTTGTAACCTTGGGCAAGTCCCTTCTCCTCTTGGCTTAATTTTCCTATGCTATAAAATCAGAGGGTTATACTATTGCAAATCCTTAAGATCTGAAATCTCTTAAGATCCTTAAGAGTCCATCCTGTTTAGAATCCTATCATCAACACCAGAATATCTCCACAGAGGGATCATGTTCTCACCTCAAACTCCACAAGCCTAAAGTCAAATTAATCATCTTCCTCTCAGAATTGGTTTCTCTTCCTTCCCAGTCACTCTTCAGGGCTACCTCAGATGACCTATCATCTAGAATTCTGGTCATGTGGACACTAATCTCCTCAGTCACCATCCTATCCCAGCCCTCCTATGATTGTTTTGGTTTTTGTTTAAGCTCTGACCTATGATTTCATTATTGTGGAAATTCCAGTTGTGAAAACTCCCTCTACCAATCTTCATCTTATTTGTCATTTATTGTCTTAAGAGAGCTGCCTGGGACATTCAGACCTTAAGTGACTTGTCCACAGCTACCCTGCTAATATCAGTAGAGGCAAAACACAAATCAAGGTCTTTGGACACCAACTCCTCCACATTATGATTCCTTACCTCTCTTAGCTTCCTCCTAATATCTCCTTAACTTCTTAAGCTTGAAACTTATTGGCAAAGCAGGCCATAGGTAGGCAGGTGATCCCTCTTTCACCCCATGTGGTAAGTAGTGCATTTTGCAGATGAGGAAACTGAGACCCAGAGAAGTCAACTACTTGTCCAAGGTCACTGTGAATTGGTGATGCAGCTGTCTAGGACAAAAACCTAGGTCTTTTGATGACCATCAAACTATCTATCATCAAAAAAGGTTTCCAGATCAGTTAATCAATTAATAAACATTTATTGAGCACTCACTATGTGCTAGGCACTGTGCTAAACATTGGAGATATAAAAAGAGGCAAAAGATAGTGTTTGCCCTAAAGGAACACAGAAGTAACTTTAAGTGTTTCTGGAGCAACTTATCAAGCTGAAGAAAAGATGTTCTTCCCTCTTACTTGGTCAGTTTCATGTCTTCTACTCCCTTCCTTACTACTGATTTTAACAATCACCAACAAACACAAACACCACAATCTGTGAAAAGAGCAAGAAAGAGGCTTATATGAAAACCTGAACTACAGTAACGTCCAGCATGTTGTTTAAGAAGCATAACAGCCTCCAGCCGGTGGTGGCCAGCTAAGAGTGGCGAGGGGCTATGTGGGCAGGAGATGACATTCAGGGGAGTAGCCATTTTGTTCAGGTCCAAGACAACTGCTGGAGCCTCTGAGACTCTGAGCTGCAGAGTTAGGGGTGAGTGCACTGGTTTGTCCGTGCTCTCCCCCAGAACTTTCTCTTGATCCCAACTGCCTCTCGAAAAGACATTTGACATTTTTGGAGCAATGTACTAGCTCTTTTAACAAAACTAGGAGTTCAGACAAAAGAGTCAATAGAACAGAGAGTAGTGGAAGATATGGTTCCATCATAGATCAGGATGATCGGGATGAAACAGGCAGAAGGATTCAGATTATGAAAGATCTAGTGATGATCAAAGGGACCATGGATATGATGATTGCAGGGATTATGACAGTCCGGGGAGGGAACCGGGAGAGAAGGAACAGGGAGAGAAGGAATAGTGACAGATCAGAAAATGGCTGCCATTCTGATGTTGACTATGGAGAACATTGACTACAGGAATGATATTAATGATGAGTGGGAGAATAAGACAATTATGTTGCCCCCACTTCCTGTTACTGCTACAGAGAATGATATTTGAGAAAGAACGGAATCCTTTGAAGGCCTTCAGCCTGTAGATGTGCAGCTGATGAAGAGAAAAATAGGTGTAAACCATGGTTTCTCTTTCTCAGAGTATCATCAATTGCAAGATGCTACCAGCTGGATAGAAACCAACCAGAACACTTGACACTTAACTAGCTGTGTAAGTGTCCCTGGGCAAGTCACTTAACCCTGATTGCCTCACCAAAAAAGCAAAAAAAAAAAAAAAAAGAAAGAAAGAAAGAAACCAACCAGAAAAAATTGATGATTCAAGGAAATCATATTGCAATGCATTATAGCAATCCCAGACCTAAATTTGAGGATGGTTTTGTAACGAGTGCTGCTTTAACAACTTTAGGAAAAGACTCAAATATTTTGGATACGGAGCTGATAAATTCGACTCAGAACTGAAGTCCCATCTAAATCCACAGAGTCTGCCCAGTTTGTGGATTACGACTATGATACTATTATTCTTTGACTATTGTTCCTCATATTGGTGTAGATTCCATAATGACAGCATTGTCTCCATGTGCATCATTAGTCTATAACTCTCGTCTTGTAAGACACAAACAGATGCAGCAGAACAGAGGATTTTCATTTGTGCAGCTGTCTTCAGCAATGGATGTTTCTCAGCTACTAGAAGTGCTACAAAGTCTTCATCCTCCACTGAATATCAATGGCAAAACAATTAGAGGAGATTTGGCCAAAAGTACCAGAAAAGATTTGGTTCTTCCAGGTGGTAAAAGGTCAGCACCTTTGTCTGTGGCTGGCATAGCCATTGCCGTAGCTCAGTGGTCATCCACTCAGTCTCAAAGTGGAGAAAGTGACAACATAAACGACAGGCATACCTCATTTTATTGTGTTCTGCTTTATTACGTTTCACAGATTTTGAGGTTTTTTTGGTTTTTGTTTTTTTTACAAATTGAAGTTTTCTGGCAACTCTGTGTTGAGCAAGTCTGTCAGTACCATTTTTCCAACAGCTCATATTGTGTCTCTGTGACACATTTTGATAATTCTCACAATGTTTCAAACTTTTTCATTATTATATCTGTTATGATAATCTGTGCTTAGTGATAAATACACACACACACACACACACACATATATAAAATTGTTTTGAGGTACCACCAACCATAACCATATAAGACAGTAGACTTAATAGAAAAATGTTGTGTGTGTTCTGACTGCTCCACTGACTGGCCATTCTCCTCCCTCTCTCCATCTCCTGGGCCTCCCTATTCCCTGACAATTCCAACAATATTGGAGAATATTACATAAAGTTAGTTGATAAAGCAGCGGCAGAGTTTGAGAGGATTGACTCTAATTTTGAAAGACATTCTACTGTGGGTAAAATGCTATCAAATAGCATCACATGCTATAGAGAAACCTTTTGTGAAAGGAAGGGCCAATCAATGTGGCAAACTTCATTGTCTTATTTTAAGAAATTGTCACAGCCATTCCAGCCTTCAGCAACTACCATCCTGATTAGTCAGCAGCCTCAACATCGAGGCAAGTCCCTCCACCAATGAAAAGACTATGACTTACTGTAGGCTCAGATGATGGTTAGCATTTTTTTTTTTTAGCAATTAAACATTTTTCATTAAGGTATGCACATTTTTTAGACAGAATACTATTGTATGCTTAATAGATCACAGCATAGTGTAAACATAACTTTTATATGCACTAGGAAACAAAAAAACTTGTGTTGAGTGACTTTATTGTGATACTTGCTTTATTGCAGTGGTCTGGAACCAAACTTGCAGTATCTCTGAGGTATGCCCTGAACAATTATTTCCAACCAGGCCAAGATGGCTCTGCACAGAATGCCCAATATTCATCGGATTATCAGCAGTTTTACCAGCAACAAGCAGGGGGAGTGGAGAATGACACACTACTGTACCAGGGGCAGCAGTTACCACTACTTCAGCCACTGTATTATCCCAAAGTCCCCAACTGTACAATCAAACCAACAATCCACCTGGTTCTCCATACTATCATAATTCCTTGACCTAGTAGTATCTTTACTGGGATGGAGAACAGGAGACCTGGGTGCCTGCAGCAGAGTGTAGAATGCAACAATGAACTGGTCTGCCTTCCACCAAAGAAAGGAAGGAAAAGAAGGGGATGCCAAAGAGCAAAATGGCACAGCAGAATGCCAAAGGCATGGAACACT